TCCTCAGTCCTCTGGACGTGCTGGGTCAACCTCCACGCAAGTGCGATGGACGCAGCTGCGTGGTGTGAGGAATGCGAAACCACTGTCTCTTGACACAGTCCACTCGGCATCAGTCTAGAACCTGTCTTTTTGTTTGACTGTCCTGCCTGCAGTCCAGATTTGTCCGCTACTCAAAATATCCTTAGCATCCTTAGACCAAGAAGTTCGACGGTAGGATGTGGACGTTCAGTTTGGGATGTGTCCCAGTAGTAAACTGGACTCCACCTGTGTCCACCTTTTTGAGACAACACCACCCGTCGGTCTCATCAAGGATGACCACTATGTTTGATCCAGCACCCCCTACTGTTCAACGCCAACAATACACACGTCATGGCAGCATGAACACCAATACCGTTATTTAGTGGATTTACACAACATTGTTACAGAAACATGAGGACGGACAGACAGATGACTGAGAGACGTGACCTCTGTCTCATCTCCATCTGCAGTCTGATCATATATTCACCACAGCACTGCACATATATGTATATATAGACTCATGGAGAAACGCACAGACTCAGTGCCAGCAGAAGTGAGGCCTCCTCCTTCACCTCCATCTGTCTCCTCCTCACCAACACCCTCCTTCCCTACTTATCCACACCCTCCCAATCACCACGGCTGATTGACAGCCAAGCTCAGGTGGAGATTTTGGGTTAAAGAGGGGGAGAAGAAGGAGATGAAATGGGGGAGACGAAGGTCTTTATTCAACACAAGATTACTCCCCCACACACAACCCCCACCCCCCGAAAAATCAGCTCCTCTGCTTCCTCCTCTGACGGAGGCTCGTCAGTTCACGGCTGTTTCCTTAAGTTCAGGCTGAACTGGAGCTACAACGCTAACAAACACAGGAACACAACAACCAGGAGTCAGAGAACTGCTGAAGGGTTTTTGGAGTCACACACGTCTCAGATTTAACTCCAACTCCAGCAACCTGCCGGTTCAACCTCAACAAAAGTCAGTTCTCACTTTTTGCTGTTGACAAGCAAGCGAAGCCATAACATGGGCCAGAAAATAACATAACGCAGCTGAAGAGCAACACAATGGAAAAGTGGCTAATGGTTTGATTCCCAGTGTTTAGTCTGACTCTCTATATCCTCTATAGGTGGGATGTGGGATTTCTCCAGCTTCATCCCTGAGTCCAAAAACCTCAACATGAGGTCAGTGGTTCACTTTTATACTGACCACAGGTGTGGATGTGACTCAGCCCAACAATATCCAGCTACCACCGCGGGGCCAAAGGAATGTTTTGTGAACTTCTAGTCCTTCATTTGGAGGGCCAACCAGAGTTTGTCTTTGAATCAGAGGTTTGTCTCACCACCAGAAACACACACACACACACACGTGTCATTTTAACTTGAGAGTGAGTGGAAAAGACCAATTACATAAAGGACATGATTCAGACGAGGAAAGGTTGGAGGGAAAGAATATAGGAAGTGAGGGAGTGTTGGAGCATGTAAATATAGAGGCAGACAGATTGTGTTTATGGGTCTGCGTCGTTTTATCTGTCCTCTCACACCTTTATTGATAGACGAGGAAGAAGAGAGACGAAGAGGAGGTGGAGACGTTCTCCTGTGTCACTGCTTCTCTTCTGCTTCCCACAGTGAAACTTCCTCTTTGTTTGGACCAATCAGAGTGACTTTGGAAAATGTAGTGCAGTGGGTTTTCTTTTTCCTTCTGTCCAGTAAATGTCATAGGTTAGAATTGGAACTGTTCAAAGACCACAGACAGGTGTGGTTGATCTGCTGCCGCCCCCTTCAATAAGTTCAAAGTGTGTGTAAATTCTTTTGTCTTCGACAGAATAACAAAGATTGTGTAAATTCTTTTGTCTTCGACAGAAAAACAAAGATCATCCAAACATCCTGCACATTTCTTCCACAGGGGGAAATTAGGATTTTACGTCAAAGCTTTGAGAAAATATTGTTCAAATTTTGGCTCAGAGAGCAGGTGGAACGGTTTGATTTTATTACTTATGTGTCATTGAGGTAAATATTCATGTTTGCCTCAACGGCACATATCGACCACACGAGGCAGCAGTAGATCAGCAGCTCTTGTTTCCCTGTAACGTGTGTTAAAATGATCATCATCATCATCTGTGGACTTCAGTACTGTAGCTGACGTGATTTTCAAAAAAAAAAAAAAAATCCTTCACTACTAAGATTAAGCTCAGTTAAAGATATTTTGGACTTGAAATTATGGTAATTCTACCAGTAAACTCTATTGCTAAGAGACTGAGACTTTCCTGTAGTCCATGTTTGCAGTTCAGTGGATGTTGGTGCTGCACCTCATGAAACCACATTAAAATGTAATGAATGTTCTCACAAACTTGGCTCGGCACTGAAAACATGTTTGTGTTACATTTTTGGGAACTGACCCTTTAGGAAGGGAGTGGGAGCTGCCACAGATTTATGACCTGTGTGTTCCAGCATCACCTCATCTCCCCAGAAAATCCAACATCAACACATTTGTCATGTGCTCATGTATTTTTTTTTCTCTGCTCCAGTTATTGTGAAACTGATCACTGATAACGTGGCTTTCTGTCATCAATAACTCCCTCCACACTCTCTGTCTGACAGACATCAGTGCTCATTTCAAGCATTTGCAGCAGCATTTGCAACATTTGCAACAGCATTAGCACCATTAGCAGCAGCATCAGCAGCAGCATCATCAGCAGCAGCAGTAGCAGCAGCAGTAGCAGCAGCAGTAGCAGCAGCAGTAGCAGCAGCAGTAGCAGCAGCAGTAGCAGCAGCAGTAGCAGCAGCATTAGCACCAGCAGCATTAGCATTAGCAGCATTAGCAGCAGCATTAGCTCACACTGCAGCTCTTTGTGTTCAAATGAAGCTCACACATCGCTGTTTCCTCAAATGCTACCTGATCGCTAATCTGCTGCTAAGTGCCTTAGCCACCTCGCTAACCTGGAGTTCTGCTGTGGTCTACAGACATCAGGATACAGGTGACGTCTGTCACAGGTCAAGCTGATTGTGGTGGTGGTGGTGGGGGGGGTTAGGGGGGGTTTGTTTGTTTTTTCATGGCTGTCAATGATTTTCAAATGAGCTGGACCTGGAAACATGGATTTTGAGCTTCAGGTTGAGAAACTCATACTCTCTCTCCCTCCAGCCCCTCCTAAAAAAAAACATTTTTAAGGACTCTCCTACTCCAGTGTCCATTCACAATATATTTAACGAGCCCTGACACAGGACGCTGACCTCCAGACATCGTTTTTTTGGTGTTCTAAATCAACTGTTTTTACCTTCAGTGTCCTGAAGAGGAAACATGTAAACCAGTAGATTTCATTGGTCACCTTTCAGTCCAATCATTCTACAGCACCAAAGTCCATAGAGAAAATCACAGACTTGACATCAGAAAATAACAGTGTAAACATGGAACTCTGTTGTCACTGTGGAATGTCTTTACTTTATGTTATACACTAACTCTCTCTCTCTCACACACACACACACACACACACACACACACAGGTATACACATCAAGCTGACAGCTCAACCATTAACCCTCATATGCATCACAGCAGGGCCCTTGTGTGTGTGTGTGTGTGTGTGTGTGTGTGTAATAATAGCTTGCTGGCTGTCAGTGGAGATGAAGGGTGTGTGTCAGGAGAGTGAGTTTTAAATGCTCCTCGTCAACCCGTTCAACACAGAGAGTGACAGGCCTGCGGAGTTTGTGTGTGTGTGTGTGTGTGTGTGTGTGTGTGTGTGTGCGTGTGTGCAACAGAATGCCGTTGTGTGAAAGAGCACAGATTTATAACATTCATTCCTTATACATGACAGAATACATGAGCTGAACATATAGATGCTACAGTCCAGAGCTGCAGTATTTGATTTTCCACTGGCTAACATTTAGCTAACCTCGCCTGGTTTTGTTTTGGTTTGTTTTTTTGGTATATTTTATGCAGATTTAGTGCCAATCCTTGACCGACCCTCAATTATATTATTACAATATTCTCTGCTGCTGATCTAAAGCTACTGGGTCTTCAATGTCAACAAACAAATGTTGTTGTTTTTTAACTGTAAGTCAATAAGTGGCATATTTTAGCAACATTCAGCAGACACAGACATATGGATGTTGACATATTCAGTAAATTATATATATGCCTGCAAGTGTGTATGAGTGTGTATGAGTGTGTAGGAGTGTGTATGTGTACAGGTTTAGTAGCTGCCCACCTGGAATATGTCCTTACAGAAGCAGCTGGTGTCAAAGTACCCATCACAACATACGCACCCCCCCCCCCCCCCCCCCCCCCCCCCCCTCGCACCAACGTGTAGCTGAATACCATTACGCTAGTGTCAGTAAACTGTACACAAGTTTAAAGATTTAGCTTTTCTTTAAAGGACAAAAAAATGCAGCTCCAAAAGTGAAAGTCAGACCCGGTCTGTGGGACTCAAAGAGCAGTCGAAGTGAAAGGACGGAAAAGAAAGGAGTGAAAATATCACGTGGCCAAACTGAGCAAGATTGGAATGAATGTTAGCTGGAGTTCCCCTTGTGGCCGTTTCCTGAATTTGTTCTCCTTTTAATTGTTGAAGAATTAGCAGACATTTGCTTAAACAAAGCATCATTACTGAGGAAGAGGGGAGTCAAATCTGTGGCCTTCTGCTGTGGTGCCCCGCGGCGCCCAGAGCAGGCGGTGTCAAAGTAAGCCGTCAGCAGCCTGAATGGCCCAAAGTCTTTTGTCCCGGCTCTGCTGAAATATTATTATTCCGCTGCTCAGAAATATGTCAGATTAAATTGTTACCTCGGCAGAGCCTTGCAAAAAGGCACAAACACTGGGGCACTTTCCCGTCCATGATCGTTTCTTTTCTTTTCCCGAGTTTCCTGAAATATTATTATAAAAGCATTGTTAAACTGCTCGCCAGCACGACAGCTTAAATCATCACCTTCAGCGCAGGAGAAACAAAAAAGTGAGGAAACGTGTCGTTGAAATATTACATTACAGTGATTTGGGCTTTAGCAGCAGCAGCCTCAGCCTCAGCAGCAGCAGCCTCAGCAGCAGCAGCCTCAGCAGCAGCAGCAGCAGCCTCAGCCTCAGCAGCAGCAGCCTCAGCCTCAGCAGCAGCAGCCTCAGCCTCAGCAGCAGCAGCAGCAGCAGCAGCCTCAGCAGCAGCAGCAGCAACAGCAGCAACAGCAGCCTCAGCAGCAGCAGCAGCAGCCTCAGCAGCAGCCTCAGCAGCAGCAGCAGCAGCCTCAGCAGCAGCCTCAGCAGCAGCCTCAGCCTCAGCAGCAGCAGCAGCAGCAGCAACAGCCTCAGCAGCAGCAGCAGCAGCAGCAACAGCCTCAGCAGCAGCAGCAGCAGCAGCAACAGCAGCAGCCTCAGCAGCAGCAGCCTCAGCAGCAGCCTCAGCAGCAGCAGCAGCCTCAGCAGCAGCCTCAGCCTCAGCAGCAGCAGCCTCAGCCTCAGCAGCAGCAGCAGCAGCAGAAGTTCTGTGACAGAGGTGGAATGACTGACGTTCATGTCACAGTGGCCTACTGTAAACCAGGGGTTCTTAAACTAGGGCGCGTGTACCTCTGGTTGTCTTTACTGTTCAGCAGCCATTTATGGAAAAAATGAATAGATATTCAACCAACACAGGGAGATTTGATCATATTGTTTAGTTTTTTTGTTAAATCAGTGTTTTAAATATCTTTAAAGATAAACTCAATGACAAATAGTGACCACACGAGGCAGCAGTAGATCAGCAGAAAAGTAATCATTTTCCCTGTGGACTTTGGTGCAGGACAGTGATTGGTCCGAGGCGTGCCCACCAAACCTTGCGTCTTTTTGAATGACTCAACACTGTCACAACTCTTTGAAGTCGTGGTTAAAACTTCACTTCCTGTTGACCTTCTCCGTCTCTCCCTGAACTCTACCAATGAAATGATTGAAGTGCAGCGAATTGAAAATGGAGTCAAAAGCCTATTTGCGTGCAATTTGGTTACCAAGAAAAAGAAGTGGGGGGGGCTGAGAGAATTTTGTGCACTTTTAACCATCAGAAACTCCTTGAAAACTCCTTGAACGGCATCGCAATCTTTTCCAAATCACTGCTGCTGCATGAAATCAGTCTGATTAATTAAGTCGGCTGACAGCTCCGCTCGCCCAACCATCACCGTTTGTCACGTCTCGTTGCCAAAAGTATCTCCAGAAAAGCAGCGTGGAGAGTGGAGGTGAGGATGTTTACGGTGAAGAACAGACTCCTGTGTTGACGTGGTCGGAACATCTGAGTTTTTGACACAAGGAGAGAAAAAACAGACAGAACATTTTGACTTTTTGCGAGAAGAGAAACTAAAATTTTAATCATGTGTTCAGCAGATATACAGTGAGAGCGTGTGATACAGGTGATGAACCAGAGAGTGTGTTTCAGTGAGAGTCTGCTGATTAAAAAGTTCAACACGAAAACATGGTCCAGACGAACGAGGAGGTCAGAAGACCAGGCCAGTCATTATTAATATCAGATATAAGGATCTACCTTTCTGCCTGTTCTTCTGTTATTTCTCTCTCCCCCTTTTCACTGTTCCTCTTTCTCTCTCCCCCACTCTCCTCTCCTGCCTCCCTCTTTTCTCCATCCTCCTTCCTCCAGTTACAGCCAGTAACTCACCAGTTCTTTTCCATACCTCTCTATTACCTCCCAGTCTCTCCTCCTTTCCTCCTCTCTCTCTCTCTCTCTCTCTCTCTCCCCTATGCTACTCTCTCCCATTCCACCCCCTCCCCCTCCCTCCCTCCCTCCCCCCCTCCCTCCCTCCCTCTCTGTGGGAACCACTCGTCTGTTTGTCGGCCAATAGCCTCCAATTCATCCGAGGCCTGTATTTTGAAGAAAAGACCAGCAGCTCCACAAAAGCTAAAGGGGAAACCACCTCCTCCCTCCTGCTCCCCCCTTGTCTCCCATTCTCCCCCCTCCCACTGAGCCTCTCTAAGTTTGTTTAAGACATTGAGGGCCCAAAGAAAAAGAGAAAAAGAGTGGGACAGAGAGAAAGCGTCCAGCCATTAAGGTAATTATATAGAGCCTGTGTTCCCGTGAGGGCCCTTAATTGATGTTAATGTTTGTCTAATTGGGGGGAGGGGGAGGAAGAGGAGAAGAAGCAGGAGGAGGTGAAGGTCCTCCTCAAAAGCTCCTTCTTCCTCCCCACTTCTTCTTCTTCTTCTTCTTTGAAATCTTTTTCTCTGGGTCTCAGTCGTTCACACCTCCTCACAATGGCTGTCACCTCCAGCTTTCTCACGTTACCTTTTCTTAAAAAGCCCCTCCCCCTCCCCCCCTCCTGCCAACTCCTCACCCCTCCACCTCCTCCCAGCTCCAGCCTCCCACCAGAGCACTGGAGCGTTCTCCCACAACTCTTCGGCCTAATGACGGCTCTATCAGGAAGTTCCAAAGGCATCTGAACTGGGAGATGAAGAGACAGCAGTTGATGGTGACATCACTGTGACATCATCACCACAGCCACAGCTGTTGGGCTATTGATCCGTATTGATTATGTCCGTGAAGTAACAGCGATAAGCAATGAGACTGTAAGCTGTACAGCTGTGTGCACGTGACGATGAGGAAGATGAAGAGCAGGATGATGAGAACGATGACAAGAACGAAGAATATGGAGAAGATAATGAGGAAGACGGGAATGATGATGATGAGGATGATGATGATGATGTCATAGGTAATGATGGTGATAAAACGATAACCCCATTGTCATGGTCAGGATGGGATGAACAATAACTTATGATCATTATTAAAGCTGATTATCAAACCTTCACTGATCGGCCCTTCAATAACTGAACAGAAGTTTCCTCCTCCTCCTCCTCTTCCTCCTCCTCCTTCTCCTCCTCCTCCTCCTCCTGGAGCCTCCTCATAGCTGGAGGCAGTGTCAGCTTAGCTATTGTTGTTGAGTGTATTTGCAGTTTTGCGTGTGTGTGAGTGTGTGATGATGGAGGGAGCGCTTGGTATTAAACACTGGCGCATTTTTCTCTCTGTATATATTTGTGTATGCTAATGAGTCTGTCTGTGCTGTCAACGCCACAAAACAAACTCACCAACCAACAAACCAATTATCTCAGTGCTGCTCCCTCATTACTGCAGGAGCAGGAGCTGAGGAGAGACAGGTTCAGGAGGGAGGACGGGGAGGAGGAGCTGGAACAACGGTGGGGAGAAAAAAGCCATTACCAAACGAACAAATGGGTTTAAAATGACGTTAAACAGAAGGAAAGATGAGAAAAGATGAGGAACAGGAGGAGAAATAGAACAGGAGCGGAGGTTAGAACAAGTGGAAAGGAGAAGGAGGAGGAGGAGGAAATATTTTAGAAAAAGGCAGAAAAAAGAGGGGGAAGGAAGATAAGAAAATAAGGAGGAGGAGGAGAGAAGCTTGAAGAGGAACTTCAGGTTGACTCCTCGGAGGAGGAGAAATCCTCTCAGAGCAAACTCTGATCTCAAACTCTCTCCCGGCGTATCCCATCATCCATCATTCCCATGGAGCACCACACCCAACGTCAGGGACGGACGGAGGGGAGTATCACACACAAACATTCAAAAACACACACAGGAGGAGAAAAATGACAATGCCACAAAACAGCCTTCCTCACAGAACGAGACAAATGTCCCGAGGCCAAATGAGACACCTGTCCAAACCTCTAAAGACCTTTTGTGTCTTTCACAGATTCTTTTACGCTGCCTTCTAATTGGCTGGAAGCAGCGCTGGGGTTAGGGTTCGGCTGTGTGTGTGTGTGTGTGTGTGTGTGTGAGTGTGTGTGAGTGCACGTGCATGTCACCAGCATCAGCAGCAGCAGGAGGAGGAGGAGGAGGAGGGAAGAGTGGGAAGAGACAGAGAAATGAATAGAAAATGTGATTGTGTTGCTGTCAAACGCTCTCACATCATGAACTCGCCTTTTCTTTTCTTTCTCTTTTTTCTGCAGCAGGACAGAAAGAGCGAAAGAGAGAGAGGAAATGTGTGAAGGGGGAGAGAAGGAGGGGGAGGTAAGGAAGGGTGAGACACAGAGAGAAAAAGAGTGAAAGAGACACACTTCATTCGTTATACAGCGGCCTGATTGGAGTGGCAAAGCCACAATTCACAATCTGGAGTGGAGTTCCCATCACACCAGAGCGCCCCCCTCAGCCCACCACCTCCTCACCCACCTCCTCACCCACTGCATACTGCCAATCAAGCGCAGCCTCGTACAAGCTGCCGGTGTTTTCGGAGCTGAGAGCTTCATCACCATGGAAGGAGCAGTAATGACCCTG